TTTATGCAAGCACTGGGTACAGTCAGAAGCGCGGGAGGGTGAGAGAATTCACCAGAGCCAGAGCGGGGGAGCAGAGCAGGCAGAAGGACCGAAGCACACTGCTGAGGGGAGCAGCGGGCGGCAGGAGAGGTCTGCGCGCCATGTGGGACCCTCCTCCGGTGGCCGGGGAGCAGCCGGGGATCGAACCGGCACCGCAGAGGCCGTGGGCAGCTTCGCAACCCAGCGCTCAACTGCTGCGCCACCAGGGGAGGCCCTCCAAATGTGAATTCTTTCTTCTGCAGAGTTTCATGCAAGCACTGGGACTGTAGATAATAAAGACAACGAATCACTAAAAGGTGGTTGAAAACACATATATTGGTGACTTGGGGAACATATATAAATTTAGTTTTTTGGGATTATCATCCCTGCCTTGGTCAGTTTAACTTTAGTTAACTAAAAGCTGTTAGACATTTAAAAATCATACTTTTATCTATTTTTTTTTGTAAGAACATAGTCTGTTTTTGTTGCATTGTTCCCCAGAATAGTATCTTAAAGAAAGTAGAATTTGTATGTGAGACTGTGTAGGGAAGCAGTTCTGCAATGTATGGTTTGCGTGTTATTGCAGCAGTGTTCAACACAATTCTGTGTAGAGTAAGAGTAAAGTCCATATGGAAAAATAAGCAATGTGAAGAAACTTATCTATTTCATTGACATATTCCATTTTTGGTTTAAAAGGTCCAGAATAATTGGCATTAGAACATGTTTTATACACTTACAATTTTGGGGGGGTATTTTTGTGTTTATAAGGCATGATAAACCCATTGGTAACACTAAAAATAACATGAAGGTATTTTCTATTGCTCAGTAGATATCTATAAATGTGCCTATGTATTTATATACATTCAGTCACATCCATACAGTAATACATTTGTAGCAAAAATAGTAATGTGATTATTCTAAATTTTTAAGAAATAGCATCTATAATGAAATTCTCACACTCATTCAGTTTTTACAGAGAGAACAAAATATCAATGTTAGAAATACACCCTATTAAAAAGCTAGCCTTTTAAATCAGCCCTGATTCCAAGCTTCCATCTGCTTACTTGCTGAGCGATATAGTGTTTGCTCCAACTGCTGCACTTCTGGTCTGTCTTCATTTTCTGAATTAGCCCCTGCACTACAGGGGACTAGATAACATGCTCCGATGCTCTGTCAGCTTGTTCTGTAATAAATCATCAGAGGCAACAACATTTGTTTAGGCCTATTTAAAAGGGTCTCTTGGGAAAATCTGTGAGAAGAGAAAATACTGTCATACTAACTTTTCTATCATCCTCACTTCTATACCCTTTTATCTTTTGGACTCTCAGTGGTGCCATTCTATGTATTGTTGGTCTTTAAGTATTGTGAGGTACAGTAGCTGAATTAGTGAAGACTCCAGATCTTAACTACTGTTAGATCAGTTAAAACAAAAATCAATTACTAAATATGTAATGGCAGAAGAGAAACTTTCAGTTTCCTTAGGCATATGGTCTTACCCATTAAATGAAAACTGAAGATCCTTTGTTGTAGCCATTTTTCCCTTTATTTGTAAGAAATTTCTTACCAGAAACCATTTCTCTGCATGTGATTGTGAAATTAGAAATGTAAAGACATTCTTATAGTTATTCATCAAAATCAACAAAAAACTATGAACCAGAGACACTTTTTGGGGGGCAGGAGGGGAGGGATTGGGGTCAGAATGGGGGGTTTGCAATTGTATGGGGGAATATAAAAATATAATTTATTTAAAAAAAAAAGAAATGTAAAGACAAGCATAAATTTGTAACTAAGATCACTTTTTATGTATTACTTTTAAAAGCACCTTTTGTATATTTTATAGTAGTGGATTATAATATAGAACATCAAGTAAATAAGTGTTGTGTATTACTGCATGAGAGTTTTCTCTAGAACTTTAGAAGGAAATTTACTGAGCACCTGACTCAAGTTACATTATTTTATAGACAAGAACTGCAAAGTCAGAGAGTTTACGGGACTTGGTGAAGGTCATACAAAAAATGAGCACTAAAATCTTTGAAGCTGTGTTTGTTCTGGTTTATCCAGCATATTTGGATGATTGCAGGCCAATGATTGAGTCAACCTTCCCATCAGATGGACACACTAGGGCATCCAGCATATGGAATCTCTTCAGGATGCTCACCTTATTAGCAGAGTTATATTTGAGATGAAAGAAAAAGAAAAAAAATCAGAGATGAGATGTGATGAGAATAAAAAGTGAAAGAAACAAGGTAAAATTTAAAAGCATCTTGCAAAAAGCTACCAAGAGCATACTGTAATCAAGAATTGACCAATCAGAGGTTTTCTGCAGCCCTGGGACACTGAGTGGTACAGTGGAAGGGAGTCTGAAGTTTGACCTGATTTGGAATACTTGCCATGTCGCCAATTTAGTGATGAGAATTTAAGAAGAGATTTTGCCACTCAATAATACCCACTTGGATATTCCTGCAATACTGCATGATTCTTCAGGAAATACTGACTGACAGCAGTTGATTCATTGATGATTAGTGCTCACTCACTTTGGGCTGCCCTCTACCCCCAGGTAGACTTGTGTTGACATGACAATCTCAATGTGCCAGTCAAGTAGACCTTCTAGCAGGATAGGGATACTTTTCTATAGAGATCAGTTCACATGTGAACCCTGGATCAGGACTAATAATCCCTTTATAGTCAGGAGAAGCAAGCCCACTTTAACATGATCATTTCTGTTTTCAATGAATACATTTTTTAGCCTTATGTGCACGGCCAAGTCAAACGTAATAGTTAATGAGGAGTAAGACCCCTGTATTATTTTCAACTCTTTGCTCTTTCTACTTCCCTAACCTCTATTCACTCTCTCACTTTGGTTTCCCCAAAAAAAGCTCTTCAAGCAGAATCCACAATTAAATATTTTGGCATTGTCCTCTCCTGGAAACGTGCATTTTGACCGAGATACAATGGGAAGGGAACAAACATGAGATATGAAGGCTTATCTTGGGGCAGAAGGGTTCCTTACAGTTGTTGCGTTGTTAACTAAGTAAGCCAGAGTTTGATCCAGATGTGTTGATTTCATGGATAAGGAAATCAAGAGAAAATAGAAGAATAGAAAGAACAGGTGTGTGTGGCAAGCCAGTATATGGGGGAGACAGGGGGTGGAGCGGGGTGCTGGGTGAGTTGGAAAAGCACCATGACTTTGTTAATTGCACTCTGGAAGTGTTTGACAATTCAACCACAATTAGGAGCCAGAGTATTGTTGATTCTATGTGTGTTTTTCAAACTTATTTTGAGAAATTACCGCTGTTTAAAATTCTTTAGCTGGTTAATGCCTAGGTTTCTTAAAGGCTCGAGCAGCAGGCCTTTGTCTTACAACTAGTCCTGACCTCCACCCTGCAGCCCCCCCCCCCCTTCCACCTGCCCTTTCTAAAGCTGATGGCCTTGACTGGGTAATCTCAGGGAAATCTGAGACCTTCAATTTGATGTAGTCCCAGCTGTTTATCTTTGCCTTCCCTATCACTGTTCTGGGCGATGTGTCTGTAAAGATGTCTTTGATGTGCATATTGTGTAGTGTTTTGCCTATATTTCCTTCTATGTATTTTATGGTTTCAGGTCTTATGTCTAGTTTTTTAATCCATTTTGAGTTGGTTTTTGTGTATTGTGTGAGGTAGTAGTCAAACTGGTCCAACCACAATGGAGAGCTGTGTGATTTCTTGACCTACTAAACATAGAGCTTCCATATGATCCAGCAATTCCACTCCTAGGTATTTACCCAAAGGACACAGAAACATCAATTCCAAAGAGCACCTGCACCCCTATGTTTATAGCAGCACTGTTTACAATAGCTAAGCTTTGGAAACAGCCCAAATGCCCAAAAATAGATGGCTGGATCAAGAAGATGTGGTACACATACACCATGGAATATTACTCAGCATTCAAAAAAGATAAACACGTGCAATTTGCAGCAACATGGATGGCACTGGAAGGGATCATGCTCAGTGAAATAAGCCAGAAAGAAAAAGAAAAATACCAGATGGTCTCACTCATAGCAGGAATCTAGAAAACTTAAATAAGAGACCAGGAAAAAGAATAACTATAAGAAAGTAAAAATCAAAATCAACAAAAAACTATGAACCAGAGACACTCTATGGAGGGTGGGGGGCGGGGAAGGAGGGATTGGGGTCAAAACAAGGGGGTTGCAATTGTATGGGGAATATAAAAATAAAATTTAAATTTTAAAAATAAATAAATAATGACACTCATTCACATTAAGGTAAAAAAAAAAAAATCTGAGACCTTCCCACTGCTTTCCTTACTAGACCTTATCTTCCTTCTAGTTGAATGCTTGTCAAGGTGGGTGCTGTAACTCATGAAAGAAGAAACTTACTAAGCAAGTTACCCAAGTTATTTCTGTGGACCAATATCATTCCACCTACCTCCAAATATCTTCACTATTTACGATTTTGATTTTACATCTATGGCATTTCAATTGCCTTTATCTTTTTCTTTTTGCCCTGCTCTTGGATATAGTCAAAGTAAAATTTCTGGGGAAGTAGGATGCATGATCTCATTCATTCCTTAGTGGAGATGATGCCATGATTCCAGTGTGACAATTGACAAGTGCAGAAAAGTAAGAAATTCTTGAACTGGATGCTTACAAATGTTCTCACAAGTATTCTTCTTCATCCCAATTTTCCCAAATACGTTATTGTTTCATGCTACTATGGAGATAAGGATTATATATATATATGTGTGTGTGTGTGTATGTGTATATATATATATATATATATACTGATGGTATGCTTACAAATTATATTATGATGCAATTATTAATTTATTTCTGCACATGGAGGCAGGGAGGATAGTTTAAGAACTACATTTAATTTACCTCCATTTATAAATAATGATACTATGATATCAATCACCATGTAACTCAAACAAAGGCAAAGAAAGCAGACTTGGAACCCAAGAAATACATTTAATCTATATTTTAATCAAGAATGACTGATAATACAATAATCCACAATTAAAGAAAAACTTGATTTGCTCCAAATCATATCTAACAACATTAGAATTATTATATTTGAATTTCACACAACCTATGTAATTGTATAGGATGCCAATGTCTGCAAGCTAAAGATTTAAATACTGCTATCACAGACTGTACAGTGAATATCTCAGCATAACAGTAGTCTAGGTAGAATTCATTCACTCAAGAGGATACAATTTGTAATGTAACTGAAGAGTTCTGATGATTGGAACAATATTTTAAGTGATTGAAAACAATTAGCAATAAAGTAATTGAATCATTTTCAAAGCATCATTATTGAGCACTTGAGAAAATCTGAATGTTTGTGGAAATAGCTTATTAACTTTTGTTTTTTAATGGGAATATAACACTCCAGACATTATTTCATTGATAAGATGTTCCTCAGCAAATACAGCACACATAGGCAAACCTAGGGATTTTATAATAATATTCTACTATATCATCCTTGCATCCATTGATCCTTCCTCTCTCCCTCCCTTTGTTTTTTCCATTCCTCCCTCCACCCCTTCCTACATTTCACGTCATCCTGTGTATTATGGTCAAAGAAATGCGCTACATCCTTTACTGACTCAGAAAACAAAAATAAATTTCATGATTCTACAATAGTTACAAAGCATGTGTGTTTTCATTCTCATTTTTGTTAGTTGATTTATTTGGGGAAGGATAATGTGTTTGAATGAGATTTGTGCATGTGGTAGGGTAATATCTGGTTATGAAAAAAACTCATGTTTATACTTTTCATTATGCTTTTATACTAACACTGTTTAATAATTATATAATTGCAAATATATATTCAATAGTTTGTTTTTAAATCCTTGTTTGGAATTATTGGATGGTGTCACTTATATGTAGAATGTAGGGAAACAAAACAAAGGGTCAGATCAAACCAAACCACTAACAGCCCCTAGAGTCTGACTGTAGAATTGAGGATACTACAGCAGAAAGGAGAGCAAGGACCACAATGGACTATAGGGAAGGCCTGTGGGTGGCCTGGTGGTGGGTGTGGTATGATACACCTGCAGGGTGTGGTTCAATATTTGTCAATTATACAGTGTTGTAAATCCATATTACCTTAATGTAAAGAAAAAAGGCCAAATGCAAAAGAAAAATTACTGCTGAATTATTTCTATGCCAACCTTATTTTATGCCAACCTTGTATTAATGCCAACCTTGTATTAATGTCACAAAAGTATCAAATCTGTACCAGGAATGTCTACAGCGCAGTATGATGCATTGTGTGATACTAGACAGCTTACATAATCATTGTAAGTCTCAGTTTTCTCACTGGGAAAACAGGTGTAATATTATTGAGGATACTTGAGGTGGCTTTCCTATGAACAGTTATTGTAGTGTTGATACAGAGGAGGAACAAGTACATGTCAGGTCAAATTGTTAACTGCTTTTCTCCCACGATCTGCAAAACACTGGCCTGTTCCATGACCAATACATTTATGTGTAATTACTCAGATATTCATGAAATTCTTTGCTTAAGTGATCCGAGCATAAGATGTCACTATAAATATGTGAGCGGTATTTTAAAATATATACATTCATTTGTAAGTTATCCTCTAATTCATCTTGGACAATAGATACATATTATAACAATTTTACCATTGTTCAAAAGCTTTTAAAATTTACTTAAGGAAGACTCTTCAGAAGCAAATTATCAGTCATATTTTGAAACATCAGTGTCATCATTTTTATTTAGTTAAATATCAAACCCATCCTTGAGGGGTGAGGAAGGTCAAATGAGACTCTGTTACTTGAAAGACCTTTGCAAAATATAAAGAGCTATACAAAATTTAAATGCTACAGAGTAGAGTATTCAAGATTAAATATCCTCATTGAGAATAGTAAAAACTATGCCTCAGGCTCTTAAATGAATTCCAAACTTCAAATGATCTGAGTTCCAGCAATCATCTAGCTATCAATAGCATCATAAATCAATGTCATCAAACTCCTGCCAGAGATAATATGTATACACACATATACATGCATATATATATGTATGCATATGCATGCATATGCATGACCGCACCCATACATGTGACACACATAGGTGTACATGTACCCATGCATGTATATACACACATGCTTTTATGCACATGCATGTATATATATGCATGACTGTACATATGTAATATGTGTAGGTAGTGCACATGTGTCTATAGATGTGTATATGTATACATAATCTGCCTGGAGGAAAATAACACCCATGTAAAATTTTGTTAATAACAATTATTCATGCTACTGATTTGTTACTATGCTTTTTTCCATTTGTTAACAAATCTAAAATTATCTCCTATCAACTAATTTTATTCAGATATGTCCAAGACTGTTAAACCATGCCATTTAGTGTCTGAAATTCCTCTACGTTTGAGTCAGAACTTCTAGCTAACCAACCATGATTTGGGCTGAAAATGGATGACTTAATATTACTTTTCTTTCTTCACAGTTAAAGAACTGAAGTTAAAGTTAAAATGAAAATGATGCATATTTAAGTTTATCATTTGTGGAGTGTGGTGGTACAATGAGCTATTTATTAATCAAGTAGATTATGCAATAAATATTAAGTGCTGGAATGGAGTTGTAGAAAATGGCATCCAGAATAATACTTTCAGTTCTGAGGCATGTTTGAAGAGACACTTAAATTGGATCTGGCAGTTCAAAAATACTGTGGTGGTTGAATTGATCAACCTAAGATCATTTGCTAATTGAGAAGCTAAGAGAGAACATAGTTTGATCATAAAGAGATTCCTGATTGGCTAGATTGATTTCTCCTCACAAATATTTGCCATCGATGGAGTCCTCTTTCTCAGAGGTTGTTTCATATCCTTTATAAAAAATGTTAAAAGTTCAGCACTTCTCCTTTTTGTCACATTGCATTAACGGTATTTTCTGGCTATTGAGTGAATGAGATACTTAGTAATAAAAGCTGACTTATCTCTTCCTTCTTAAGTACAGTGATAGTGTCTGTTGAGGAGTCTTATCACAACTGGGAAATCAGGAGCTGGATTAGCAGCTCTGCTCATGTGCAAATAGGAACAGAGCTAATGCATGGCAGACCACATTTTCCATATTAGCACATGTCTTTAGCTATTCTCAGGAACCTTGAATTATTAGTCTAATATCAAGTTTTAAAAAGGGAGAGCAAATAATATTTCTGTAAATGCATGAAGATATTTTGCCAGAAGAAAATGATTAATAATTCTTTAAGGTTTTCCATCAACTAATTAACAGCTTTATTAGAGATATTCCTGAAGCAGGCATGTGCTTTACAATATAGCTAAATCCACTAGGCAGAGAAAGGAGGGAACAGGGTCACAATACTGAAAATGCATTTAGAATGTAATACAATGCAGGTCAGATGCTACCAAAATATTCAGCTTTACATTTGTTAGTTAAGTTACAGTGGATAAAAATCACCAAGCTCTTTCAATAAAATTGCATGAATTGTTTTTTTCACAATTTAACTTAAAGACTTTCAGTAGTTTCTTTCTATAGCTTGCAAAAATGGAAGAATCGCTTGAAAATGCATGCATGTTACTTGCCATTGCTTGTTTGGATTGTTTTAATGTAATTCTAACTCAGGTATTTTGAATACTATGTATAGTCTTCATTGTCCTGCAAATACACCTTTTTTTTTTGGCCAGAAAGGAAGGGGTTTGGAATTCAGGATAATACAATTAGAGATAAACTAAATCCTTATGCACAGTCACTCTGTGATCTTCATACTTGCAGGTTTAATATGTTAGAATTTAAGGTTTAAGTAAGATTCAAAGAAGACATTGTCAGAGTATTATTTCAACATTGATTTTTAGATACTCTGTGAATATTCCAACTTGGTTTCTGAGAAGTTAGTGTGACATATCTTTGCATAAATATGATTGTTACATTCAGAAAAAATCCTATTCCAGGCATATGGAGAGAGGGGAGAAATCAAGATTCCAGGAGAACCTCTCTGTGGGGGCAGCAGAGTTCAGTTACCAGAGCTGGGGGAGCACCATCACCACACCCATCAGAGTCAGTGCCATAGACTCAGTCCCTGCTGTACATCCTTTTCCAGTTGTGTCCAGAGTTCTACCACCGTCTGTTTGATGGATTTGCTTGACATCACTGAGATTCAGCTCATCTGGCATCCCTGCAGAGGCAAATAAAAAAATACAGGATGATGCATGAGCACCTCACCATGATACATCTAGAGCAGCTCTGAAACTCTAAGTCTGGACATCATGGATTTCTCTAGCATTCTCCACATGTCCACGTAACTCTAAATGATTAATGTAACACAGGTACTTCTTTTCTTAGAGAGTGCAGGGCCTTGAGTGGGAGTTCTCAGAAATATTATGAGCAAAGTCTTAAGCTTTCCAGATTTTTAGAGCATTTGGATGCTTTGCTAATGTCACCAATTGGTTAAAAAATAGTAAAGACAGTTAATTAAAATGTCCTGAAATATGGCATTGTTTTTCCCAGAGATATAACAGTAGTAGTAAATATGTGACACCTTTACTCATGAAAATAAAACATTAGAGGAATAATGACATAGGACATTGTTTAAAAAGCACAATTTCTATAGATCATAATTTATGTTAGATTAAACTATGCATGGAATTTCTTCTTGGCAATATATCAATGAATAACAACAACAGATATTAAATTATATCTTTATCCACACAATAATGAGTGAGGATGCTTGTGGAGACATCTCCCAAAAGGTCAAATAATTTGTTAATAAGGTAGTCTTGAGACTGAAGTTAGGGAAAAAATATTTGATTTCATGGGGGAAAAAAAAGGAAAAGCAGGTCAGGTTGTTGATGAAGGTTAAGTCATAGTCTGGTTGTTACTTGTTTGTGTTATAAAACCTGACAGACTGCAGAGACCATTTCTAAAATTATTGGGGATGAAATAATCATTTTCGTAAAGAAGCTTACCTTACTATGCTATATCTAGGGAATTACTGGCTTAGTTAGTATCCAGGGCTTCCAACGCGCGTGTTCTGAGACCACGCGACCATCGAAACTATCTCATGACACGTCACAATCATTCACAATTAACAAGTTTAAATTCAGTGCTATTGTGGCCACAAATATTGACATCGTAATTACAGTGGGACTGGAAAAAAAAGGGTTCATATAAGGAAAAGTCAATATTTATGTAATTAGGTCAATACACATATATAATTCAGAAGGTAAGCTCGACCGCACTCGGGGATGAGAGCATTAAAACGAAGCACATCTCTCCTGATTTGACATATTGATTTTACAGTCTGCGCGCTCGCATTATTATTCATTGTTTGGGTACTTGTTTTGCCCTTCTGTGTCATTAGGCAAGATGAATAAACTAGTGATTCATTTTTTTTTATAGGGACTGGAGTAGAGTGAATATTTTAGTCATGGTTTTATACTTCTTGTTATGCTAGAGTTTAACGAGGAGCTATGAGGACTCCAGGCAATGAAAAAAAATTTTTTTTCCCAAGATAACTACATAAATTTGAGCTTCAAGGGATTTACTTTTCTTTTTTAAAGCACTGCGAAGAGGTGCCTGGATTGGCTTTCTGAATAACTTCTTCTTAGGCCTTTCTGCACTGATATTTCCTCATTCATTTCTGAGCCAGGCACTAGTCTGGGTTCAAGGGATACCGTGGTGAGTGAAAATAAGTAAGCAGAAATATGTTCCATCTCATGCCTGGAAATCAGACAGTGTCAGGAAGAATGTCTCGCCTTCCATGAGGTGCAATTTTAACATCTGAGGTAGAGCTGTTACTAATAAATGTAATAATTGTAAGGACAATGGTCCCTGGACATAAGAATTCAGTGAATTAAAGTTCCCTTCAAGAGCCTGGCAGTCAGAGCTGCAGTTTCGGATCAAATCACAACCTGGTCCTGACATCTGTTAGGAAATCTTAGAATACCAAGAAGACCCACAATTATTTGATGCAATGATTGTTTTCTTAAGGAATTTAATTAACTAAGCCTGTAAATTATCCCAAAGCTTAACCAAAGACCATAGAAGAAAAATTAGTTTGGGGATTTATTACATTAATAAATTAAACAAAAACAAAGTAATTTTTGAATTTCTTTCTATGCATAATAGCAATAGGTAATGATGCCAGTAAATCTGTATTTCTGTCCTTCGTGGTTTATGGTCTGGTGGGGGAAGACAGGTAGTCATGCTATTATAAAATTAATATTAAAATTTGGTTACATGCTTGATAATGCTATGTAGTATGTAAGAATGTAACTTGATCAGAGAAGACTCCACTAAGTCATGCTGAAGTATATTAATTTGTTTGGCAATATCTACAGAATGCTTGATGTAATGCCAGTGGAGTTTCAGGCATTCCATACACATGAACTCATTTAACTTGCAGAACAATCCCATATAGTAGACACAGTTATCCTGCCTATTTCTGTAGAGAAGGAGACTGTGGCACTGGGAGGTTAAGTGATATCTAAATAGTGGACCCAGGAGTCAAATCCAGAAATTTCCCTGCCTGTAGTCTGATCACCCCTGTGCCAATTCTAAGCACTTGTAGGGCCCTGAGAAATCAGTATTTGAGGACACAGAAGTTCAATTTTGCTACCTGGAGATTACACCAAGAGGGCCTCCCTGGTGGCCTTGGGGTTAAGTCTCAGCACTGTCACCTCCAAGGCCTGAGTCTCCTGCCAGGTTGCTGACCCACATGGCGCAGCAGACCTCTCCTGTCTCACCCACTGTTTCCCTCAGCAGTGTATTTCAGTCAGTCTGCCTGTTCTGCTCCCCACTCTATCTCTGGTGAGTCCTCTCACCCCCTGCACCTGTGGCCTACACCCCAGTTGTTCTACCCAACAAAAAAGGGCACTAATAGTCTTTTCTCCTTTCTCAATCAGAGCTTTCTGATTATGAGCTAGTGCTGTGTATTCATGTTGCAACTGGAAGTATTCCTTTAGGATTTTGGTGGGTGCATACTAGATTTTGCCTTGAGGCAGGGGAGTTTGGATATTTCATTTCATCTACCCATATATTTTAAGAATTCTCGAAGTTACCAAGCCACAAAGACTGTTTAAAGATAATTTGTTCTCTACTTTAAAAAAAGAAAATTGCAAGACAGTAATCTATTTATTGTAAAATTGACCCACTGCTCCTTCTGTGTCAGGCACTGTGCCGGAATCTGAACCTTTACTAGGCACTTAAAGGATTTTTCTCTCTTTTTTTTGAGCCTGGAAAAAAAGAAGCTACCAGATGTCTTTCATCAATGGTGAAAGTAGAGGACAGATTGAAAAGAGCAGGACTATAGGATGTGATTTGAATTCAATGAAATTAAAATAATTTGCCTTTAGCTCTGATCTGTTGTCAAGGCAATTATAATCATGGCACATCAAAACTTGCCTAGGACATAGTATCTTTTCATGACTATCACTGCTTAGGTAACTCGAGTAATATGGCTTCACAACAGTAGGATGAGTTCGGTAGGATTATTTTTCCTCATTGTATAGATTAGGAACAGCTGCAGAAGTAATTTCCTCAAGGTAAAGTGGATGTGGCTGAAGCCCAGGTGTGTCCTGGTCAAATGCAGTTCTCTTTGCTTCCGGCTTCTTGCCACTGCACAATCAAATCAAGGCATTGGCACTTGCAGTCAACTCTGGCTCTTCCCGTCTGGCTGTATCACTTTATACATGACCTCCACTTCACAGAACTTAAAATGAGAGCATTTTCAGTGAGAGAGGAGGAAAGCTAGTCCAAACAAAGTACTGGCTATAAAATATTTGAAAAATGGGCCTCCCCTGGTGGCGCAGTGATTGAGCGCTGGGCTGTGAAGCTGCCTGCAGCCTCTGCAGCGCCAGTTCGATCCCCGACCACTGGCGAGGGTCCCACATGGTGCGCAGACCTCTCCTGCCACCCGCTGCTCCCTTCAGCAGTGTACTTCATCAGTCTGCGTGTTCTGCTCCCCGCCCTGGTGAATTCTCTCACCCTCCTGCGCTTCTGACTAATACAGACCACCATACAAGGGTAAAGAAAGGGTCAGAAATAGCCAAGTTATAAGAAACATAGTTTCATATATGACAGCAAAAGTGTTATAATGTTTTTAGCATGCAGAGTTCTTAAATCCATATGAAAACCACAGATGTTCCCACAGAAAACTGATAATTTGCTATCTGTAAGAAAAAAATATATAGAAGAAAACATTAAACGTTCTATAAGAATGCAAATAAATACTTAGACAAGATGAGGTAATAAAAACCTACTGTCAGTTGACAAAGGCGGGGCAGTGAGGAGATGATAGTCTTGGCAAGGATACAACCCTTTCTTAAGGAAGTTTGCCAAAACATATCAAAAGTGTTTAAAATGCATATTTACCCAGACCTAATAACTCCACTTCTATGAAAATATTCTTTGGGAATAATTAACACAATATACATAATGTTAGTCTGTGCATTGTTACAAGAAAATTAAGTGCATCTACTTATTTAAAAAGATTCAAAAAGGATAGTTTGGGTAAGAAGTGTTTATGGCATTTTATAATGTACCTTTTCTAAACTTCTTTGAATTCTGATAGTCTATGGCTGCCTTTTTTTGATAGTAATACCTCTTTCATTTTGTATTCACCTAATAAGCATTTAATAATAGTTGTGTGGATGAATATGAACTTAATCTAGAACAGTTAAAAATCATTGTTTCTTTAATTCAGTTTCTTTTCTCCCCCCAGCTCCAACCTATTTGGGATATAGTTGACATAAAACACTGTATAGATTTAAATTTTCAACATATTGATCTTATATATTTACATATTTAAAATGATTATTATAGCTTTATCATTATGTCACATAATTCTTTTGTGTTGTGGCACTTTTAAAATCTAATCTCTTAATGACTTTCAAGTATAAAATACAGTATTATTAGCCACAATCACTATGCTGTATATTAGATTCCAAGAATTTATCTTGGAACTGGAAGTTTCACCCTTTTCCCAATATTTTCCTACCTACACTACTGTCACCCGGCCCCTGGTAACCAACCATCACTCTCCTGTTTCTAGGACTTAAGATTTTTTTTTTTGACTACACATATAAGAAATTTCACTGTATGGCTTATTTTACTTAGTATAATGCACTCAAGGTTCATCCAAGTTGTGGCAAATGGCAGGGTTTTCTTCTTTCTCAT